ATGCTGTTCATTTCAACTTTTTTGCCATTAGAAAATTTCGCAAAATGAAAAACATCGATACTTCAAAGTTTGAGACTAATTACCAAGATGCACGTAATACCAATTTGGCACGAGCTTTTCCTACATTCTCTTGACAGTATATATATAATTTTAGAATTTGTTCCGTCGAAAGCATAGTATACATTCACAAACTTAAATCATATATTTGAATAATTTATCTTTTCCTTCAATTTCCTTTTTATCAAATGAATGACCACAAGTTTCAAAATGGGGCTGCATTTCATTTCCGGATTAAAAAAATATATATTCAACTTTTTTTAAAATCTCCGACATATTTATCATATACATTTATCATATAGCACTTGTCGGCAATAAAAACAAAATTGAAGACTTCTCCTCCACAAAAAAATTAAAGAATAAACCATTGATATCCAAGAAATAATTTTTACTTAGCTTAAAAAAAAAATTATGAAGATTTTAGCCTGGTGCGCGTGTAAGTGCTGTGAACGTTCGCTCATCTCCTTTTCAAATCAAGATATTCAGTTTAAGGACAGATCGATGATACAAACAAAAAAATGGAAACCTGGATTGGTATATATTTTTTGACCTATTTTGATTGTAAATCATGCAAGTAATAAATTTCTAAAATATTAAGAATTTGTAAACTTTCTATGATGTTCAAAATTCTACCTTTCTGCAACCTTCCTTATTAAGCTATACAATTTTTTGTCGCTTAAAATCACTTTATTATGAAACTTTGAATAAAAAATTAACATCTATGCGGTTAAACTTATTCATTTTACTCAAATAATCATGACTAAAGTTGTTATTTTCGAAATTTTTTATAAAAGTTTGTATCATCTGTCCTTAAGTTTGAGATAAGGTAGGTTAAGATGGAACTTAAAAGACACATAGAAACTGGTCGAGGGAATAAATCCATCATCGTTGAGGGAATTCTGTTTTTCGGTGCAGTCACTGATATATAATTCAGTACTCATTAAATTTGGTGCACAAAAATTCATGCTCATTTAACTCATGCAAAACTCCATGTACAGTGTATTGTAAGGTTTTTATTCCGAAAATTTGTATTGAAATAACTAATGTTTATCCTTAAAAATTCTATATATCCATCTTCTTGGTTAATATTAAATTGCGGGAAAAGTACCCACCAAATATTCCGGAAATGAAAAAATAAATAAATAAATGTCGGAAATGAAAGTAAAAAATATTGGAAATGCAAAATTCCAGAAATGAAATGCATCGCAAAAAGAAATACAGTCCTATAAAATAACTTTAAAAATTTTACAATTTTTCTTTCCAAATTATAAAGAGGGTTCTGTCTTACCCACAAATTTTATGGTAAAAATATTGATTCTTAACCTATTTATCGTTATTTTATTACCTTATAAAATCAGCTCAATTATTGATTTAAAATGCACAAGCTAAATTCAAATTCTGTTTGCTATATTTGATCGATATGATAACATTTTAATTTAATTTAATACATTTTTTAATGTAAACCCATTTACATAATTAGATTGGACATCAGGCAAATATGATAACATTGCATTTTATGCTATATATTTGAAAACTTTATATTCTTGATAATTTAGCCTTTCTCTTCTTTGAATTTTTTGCCTGTGAGTTTTATAGAGTATTGATTTCTTTGAAATGACCTTGTTATTTTTCTTGATTTCTTCAATTTCCCTTTAATTGTTTTACGATGACGACTCGGGTTCGCATGTGGGTTGTGATGTAGTATAATAAATCAGCTTTTACAGCCGACGAAAAGGGTTCAATGTCACACCTTTTAAGAATCCTTAGAGAGTGTATCCTCCTTAAATTGCGCAATCGGAAATCCTCCCCACCGTGTGTCTTCAGAATTCTCTGGTTTTATAGACTTCTGCAAAAACACAGGACCCAACGCAGTGCTTCATGGCGCGCCCTGCTGAGTCCACCGTAAGAAATTAAGTGGGGTTCATAAAATAAAAACAAAGGGTTTTTTGTAGCATAGAAAATCGTGCGATTTACAGACCCCTAAATAGGTGCAAATCTTGTCTTTGATGTATTTATGGAGTGAATATTGCCTCACTTTGAAGGAAAATCTCATATCACACCTATCTACGAAATCACTACATCACACGGCGAGGGGGCACCTGTCCATAGCCCCAGCGCCATCGGGCACCTTGTGGAGCCACGCAAGCTCTAATGCCAGACAGGGACCGTGCTTTATGAAGATATGTTTCCAGCAAAGTTCTTCAATTAAACGCCAATATGTCCTTTAAAAAAGATTTGTGGTGTCTTTCCCTGACGTTTTGTTTTTTCTTTTCACAGACTAAGAGTCTTGAAATGTAACAGTTAGACTGTGCCCATAGCTAGAAATACAAATAACAAGATAATAAATTTCTCGATAATTTGTTTATAACAATTTTGGTTCAATAGTAGGGGTCTATTTCCTCCCCACAAATGTGACACTCAATTTATCGAGAGCAAATATAACACCCGAGCATAAATTGACCGCAGTTGTGCATGAAGATAGATACACAATTCTAAATTTCAAAGGAGACATGCCATATTAATTTTTTTTCTAAATTGTCTACAAATAAAATTATTATATTTAATGAGGAACATATAACATTTTAAAAACAGGTCGTGGGAAAGAAAAGTGACACTTTGAGCTAGTACATTTTCGCAGTTTTGAGTTAAAATAAGGATTTTTGAATGAGAATTTACATAAATAAAGGGTTTAATTTTTACCCAAGTGTCGTTATATTGCAAAAACAACAGTAGTTAGTCGGTTAGAATTTAAGTTAACTGCAGAGTTTTGATAACAATTTGTCGACCAAGACATTTTGGCGAGAAGCGCGTCTTTCAGTTGTGACATCTTGACAAGATAACAAAAGGACTCGATTGTGCGCGTGATTGAGAAAATGCGATCAAGCATTAGCGATTGTTTTCTTATTAGCTGCTAAATTTGACAATAATGGAATTAGAAAGGGAAAATCTGTCCTAATTATTTACCACTTAGGCAATAAAATTTATCTTTGTTTCGTAAACAATTTCATTATCTCTTTCGTTCCCTCGTGAGAATTGTAACTAAACACATTTGTGTGAATTATCGCATACATTCAAAAGAAATGAAACAAAAAATAAATTTTAACGGAAAATGTGTTAAATAAATAAGGATTTTTCTTGCGAACTTAATTAATTGAATATAAAATAGGCTCTTAAATCTTTCATTCGTTGATTAGATCAACTTGTAACAATATATACAAAAATATGTAAATATAAATAAAATTATCTAGTTTACAATAGAAAAATTTTATTAAAATCTATAATAAATATTTGCGTTAACAGAGCGAAATTATCGAATAACTTTCTGTTATTAACTTCAAATTTATAATAAAAGAAATAAAAGACGATTTGTAATTAATGCATGGGATGAAAAGAATTATGTTTATTTTCTTTGCATTTTACTTGAATTGCTCCTTAAGAATATTTCAAACATTATACAGATTTAAATATCAGAGTAGAATGGGAGAAGAACCTTTCACATCCTCAAGTTCGAACAAAATGACTTAATTTTTATTGGCTAGAAAATAAATGCTTTGCCTTCTAAATTTGTTTTTACACTGTCATGTAATTGCATATAACCTTTGTCAATTTTTCCAAACCGGTACTTCTTTGTATTTTTCCCCCTTCTTTTTCCTTGCATTTTTTTTATGTTTGTTTAATTAATATTATGCAGTGTATTTACCTTGACCTTGCTGTAGGGAGAGGGCTAAAATAGGCTATGCTTGCTGCCCAATCCCATTCACTTCATGTGAACAAAATTCTGTATAAATAATAATAATAAAAAAATGTTTTTACCTTTTAAAAATAGCTAAGGATTTTTAAACGTATTATTTTTTTTTATTCATATTTATTCAAATCCCAAGATTTTAACAACTCTTTTGTGGTGTGAATATATTTTATTTTTTTTAAGAAGAAAAGAAAATCTGCCATTTTTTTTTTATTTTACGAGCATTTTTGATTGGATTTGGATAACTGTTTCTTTTAAAAATAACTTTGTATTTCTAAAGATAAATAAACAATTTATTTTAGTTCTGACGGATATGTCCTCGAATATCTTTTTGTATCTCTTTGTAACATTAAAAAAAAATATCGTAATAATCTTGTGATTTTTAAATTAGAATCGGATTATTTCGATCAACAAAAATGTATATTTAAAAAACTGTTATATCAGCAATTTAAGCGATTTAAATAGGAATATGTTTTAAAAAAAATACCATTCTATGAAATCTTGCACAAATGCCTGTCAATGTACTTTAATTTTTTAAGGTAATCTTGTTAAAGTAACAAAACTTCAATAAAAAATTCTGGGTAAAAACATGATATATATGATTGAGGTACATGTCGTCAGACCTTTAAAGAATGATTCAGAAATTAAGTTGATGTCATGTTTTTAAACAGTCGTACTAGTTACTTACATTTTATTAAATAAGAAATCCTTAAAAATATAGGTTTCAACTTTAATTAATAGAACTCCGGCCTTAACGTTTATGATTTTCTTCCCAAACTTCTACAGTCAAAGTCATTCAATCTTCTCTTTATATATTTGGGAAAATTTGAGAGGTATATTTGGAAATTGTAGAAAGATAAATAGTGGGTTTGTTCTAGCTAAAGTGTAATGTGTTGCAGTCATCTAACTATTTTATCATGTAGGTAAAATATTCCGCTTTTCTATGAGAAAATTGTTTCTTTATTGAGTTTAAACTATTCGACAAAAACAGAAAATTGGGAGATAGTGTTAATATCAAGGAACTGCTAAGATATGTTACGTCACAACTCGACCAATCAGACAAAAGGAAACCACGCCCCTTTCATTTCTGTGCGTGCTGATTGGCTAGATTTTGATTACTCCAGCGGCGAGATCAAACGATCACATGATTAATATGTACCCGGAGTGCTAGTTTGTAAACATATGTAAGTCATTCACACGATCACTTGGCAAATTCAAGTGAAACGTTTCCTTACACATAGAAAATTTAAATCGAAAGCGATAAAGTTGACAAATATTCCACCGATGCTAGATTCTGCGACCAAGTGCGATTTTCAACCGTTTTCCGTAAAAACTGAATTAAGCACGAACGGACCAAAACAGGACAAAATTGAAATGAAGTCCACTCAGTTAAATGTTAGTCACCTCTTAAGCGCCGTGGACAGCGAAATGACGGTGGGTAGTGAAAAGGGGGATCCTACGGAGAGACAACTCAAAGTCAATTTAGAGGATAAGGAATTATGGGGAAAATTCAAAGAATTTACAAACGAGATGATCGTCACTAAGAATGGGAGGTAAGTTTAATGCTTTACCCACCCGGCCCTGTATCCTGTTTTGATATAAGTATGATAAGTTTTTATTAATCAATAACACCTGTTCCCATACCTTTTTATTTCCAATCGGTCACATCAAAGAAACCGAGTACCTATCTGAGTATTTATTTTGTAAATTGGCAATTAAAACCCTCACCTTTATGACTAATAGATTCCCTTTTTAATGAATGCACTTTTATTATTATGGTATGGAAAAAATATTGAATCATTTCGGCCGCCTAGGTCGTTATTTTTCTCTTTTATGTCGGACCTAAACTGTTTGTATAAACTCAAAACTATCGTGGAAGAATAACACTAGTCTACAAAAACAGTTTTCTAAACTATTGTCCGAAATTTAAACCTCAGAAATATATTTTATCAGTTTGTAAAATATATCAAATAGACCGCTTATCAGAAAACAACTATAAATGAAATCTTGCTACAAAAGGTTATACTTATGAATATAAATAGTATTGTTTGAAGTTCATAAATCCAGACACCATGTGCATGCATCTAAAGCCAGCTGAGCTCGAAGACGGGTCAAATACACGTGCACAACTGTGGGAGATATTCTATGTCCTAATTACTGGTCAAACATACTGTGAATGTACTAAAGAAAAATGAGAAAAGTTCACATTGATACATTGAAAAGCCATGTGTGGGATTATTTTTTTTTTAAATTTAATTACAAATGAATGGAATGTTTAGTTAGAGTTGATAGATCAGTGAATGTGTTGACTCAGTTAACTATCTATATAGACTCTGTGATTGTTTTATTAGATGTTGTGTTTGCATTGAATAATACTTAATTTAACCCCCACATACAGTTTCAGGCTTATCGATTTAATAACTTAGCTTTTGTTTTTGAAGCAAGTACCATTGTTTTCTAGATTTTCATTTTAAAAATAACTTTAAAACTATACCCTTTTTGCTCTAAAATTCCGAGTCCTTCATTCTAGCATTCAATTTATTTGTTTGAATCTAAAATTATATGAATAAAGACCAATCAAATCGAATATATCAAAATATAAAAATTGACTGCTGAACTGATCACATATAAACATGTATATGTTTTTCTATTTCTATAAATGCTTTTTAGTAATATTGGCACCTAGGCCCTAAGACCTATTTAAATAAAGCATTTAAAAGACGATATTGCTAATCATTACCATTTAAAATCAATGCAAATTAATATTTAAACTTAAAAATTAAACTTCAACCCCGTCATCAAACTTTGGATTTTTTTTATACTTGGGCAATAAAACAATGTATATAAAATTAACTGAATTCTCCTCACTTCTTTAGGAATCAAGATGCTAAATCTTAGCCGACTTTGTTATCGTTAAGAAAAAGAAAAAAAAGAAAAAAATCATGGGGATTTTTATAAATAAAGTCATGATAAGTTTCCAGGGGAAATGAAAAAAGAATAAATAAAAACATAACGTTTTGGATAAATAAAATTCAGAATATTCTTATTTCTTTGAAGACCATAAATAATTCTAATCTTTCATCAGAAAAATGCAGTGTCATCGATCAATTTTAAGAAAACTGTCCAACAACAGAGAAAAAGAAAAGGGGGGTTGGGAGGTAAAGACTAGTATTTCATCGGTATAAAATATTAAGTGTATAAAAGTAACAATAATTTCGATGAAAGGAATAATTTACAAATCGAAAAGGTTAACTTGACCAGAAATATGGTACTTAAGAACGATAAAATGTATATCATTTTAATAATTCATACTTTATTAATATTTCATATCACACAACGTCAAAAGCGATGTGAACTTACATTTAATATGAAACTTCGATGTATAAGTAAGTAAGAAAGTCAATCTTATAATATAGTGACATGTTCATATTGATTTTACATTAGTGATACATAAGCATAATACATGTATGTACATCTTCCGGCCCATCGGACCTAAAGTTACAATACATTTTTTTTTATATTTATTTTATTATTATTATTTTTTTTTTTTTACATACGTTTGATTTATTTTTGTTTACATGTATATATACGCATTATAAATGAAATTAGCAGTTTGAAGTGCTAAATGAGTTAAAAGATACAACAGCATTAAATAGAGCATTTAAATCATTAATATAAATATGAAAATGCTAGATTTTTTAAGAAAATTGAATCGGCAGTTTTTATAGAGATTATATTTTAATAGAAAATCAAGTTCATTCTCAGCTTCGTTCATATAACAAAGGATACAGATTCCTTTTGGAATAGGATGACGTATAAAATAGTTTGATAAAAGGAAGTTTTGAATATTTTTTATTTATTTTTATTGATATAATTGAAAAACGAGGGGAAAAAAGCAATGTGTTACAGTTTTATTTTTAATACTAATGGAGAAAGATTAAACAAATTTAAAGATATCAAAAATCCACTGGAATTGATATTTTGAAATCTTATGATTTAATCAATACTCTGATATCTGAAAAATAAATGGGTAACAGGCAAATCCCCTATGTACCCTCTATATAACTAGAAATGTAAATTTTAACGCTTTTAAATTTTGTGATTTCTGATGAATTTTGTTATAAATGTTACTGTTAGCTCTGATTCTACGTAGAAATCAAATAATTTATTGATGTCCAACTGATTTTTTTCCCCAGGAGAATGTTTCCGGTTTTCAAGGTCAGTATCAGTGGCCTTGACCCTAACGCCATGTACACATTGCTGCTGGACTTTGTGCAGGTGGACACGCATCGCTGGAAATATGTGAACGGAGATTGGGTGGCGGGGGGTAAGGCTGAGCCAGCCGCTCCCAACTGTGTGTACATCCACCCCGACTCCCCAAACTTTGGGGCTCACTGGATGAAGGAGACCGTGTCATTCAGCAAAGTCAAACTGACTAACAAACTTAACGGGGGAGGCCAGGTACTGGACACGTTTTTTTGTTTCTATTTTTGTGTTTTTTGTTTGTTTTGTTTGTTTTTAGGGGTAATCTATTTTAAAGTATGGTTTCATAATAAACACATTAAAGGATTAGGGGGTGGGAGGGGCTGTTCCAACAAAATGGTATATGTTTTATACAGACGAAATACATTGTAAATACGAAATTCAGGATGAATTTACAAAGAAGGAATAATTAAAATGTGAACAAGTTTATAGGATAAAGAAGTAAATTATTGTCCTTAATCTTTAACGTTATGAATGTTGTCTGAAAATATTTCATAATAATATTATACATATATTTTTTTGCTAATGTTAAAGAAGACTGGACATTGTCAATTGTTAGAAAAAATCTCTAAATGGGCCAGAAATTGAAAAAAAAAATATGACCGCATATTGTACGAAATTTGAGAATGATAATAAAAAAAACTATAAAAGTGACAAATATAAAATGATTTTTACTTCAGAAAATGAGGATGAAAAAGAAGAAATAGATAATTAAATCTAAAATTAATTCTTTTTGCTGATGAGAATTATGTAAATTCGTGCTGTATAATTAACGACAAAATAATCCCTTCTTATTCAGCGTGAGCACATGAGGTCGCGATTAAAATGTTTGTATCTCACAAGCGCATAAGTCTTTGTCAAAAGGTTCCAGATAGAATCAGAAATCCTTTTTAACTCCCTAGCTCTAGTCCTCCAAAACTGTCGTTAATGACATCACAAACTCCTCTTCAATTTTTAGTATTCCTCAAATGCATGAATCATATTTTTTTGTGAAATTACAACTTGTCTCTGATTTTAATCTGTAAAAGAGTTTAAAATGACAAACACGGCGAAAGGAGATAATTTACATACATTCATCATTTATATGAAATATTTAAATCATTTAAATTCATATTTCTTTTTCTCGTTTTATCCCATGTTTTTATCGCCGAGAATAATAACCACGGGTCTCTATATCTCGATGGCGCATTAATTTATATGTAGAACCCTAAGTTCTCATTTGAAATGCATCATTTTTATTGATTTTTATCAAGAGTCAACAAAGAGCACATTTAAGAAAGATCACATGGGTCAAGAGTTGCTCATCAAAGAAACATAATAGCTAAGACATCATAAAATTCGTATCATCGTCAACAAGGGGTCCGAATAAATTTAAGTATGACTCCCAAGAATGACCATAACAAAACTAACTTTTTATTAAACAATATAATTTAAACTGTATAGCTTCGTCTTTCTTTATAAAATTTTGATGTGCTATCAACTTTAAAGATGAGACAAAATATCCTGTTGTAAAAAGCGACATTAAAATACATCAATGGCCTTTACAGAGGGGAATCGAAAAGATTTTTTTATATGTACATGTATATACTTATACTAAATTAAAGTAAAAGTACATTTTGAATGTTACACGAACTTTTAAAACAGCTGAAATTTATATCTTCACAGTAATGAAATCTGGGTATTTTTTTTTTTAAATATCAATGAAATTTACATCGACTAAACAAAATTTATTATTCATTAATTTCAGATAATGCTGAATTCTTTGCATAAATATGAACCACGCCTGCATCTGGTAAAAGTAGGAGCCAACTCCCAGAAAAAGCGCATCAGCAGTTTCAGCTTTCCGGAGACTCAGTTTATAGCTGTCACAGCCTATCAAAACGAAGAGGTGAGTATGAAAGAAGGTCATACAGGAATTAAGTTTCTCCAAGTGCGTTTTCAACACCTGCCTAGTAAAAAAAAGGTTTTCCATTGATATTTCAATTAAATATTTATGTAAAACCTCTCAAACACATGAAGGAGAGATCTCAAATTGTTCAAAACTTTGCAATAAATTTAAACTGATGCTAATTTTTATCAAATTAGACCATATTTCTATTGTTATGATTACAATAAAAAGCTACAGGCCTTATTTACAAGATGATTACCCAGACATCTGTTCAAATCGATCTAAAGGCCACACTCTGCGTTAGATAAAGTAAGATTATTGTATTACAATACTTCAGTTATGACAGCATAATGATGCAGTATTGAAGTTAGTACCATACAGTGTACCTCTCGTCAAGAAACGTGGCCAAATATGGGTCTAATTTGATCTGTATTTTCTTTAATATTAAATTTAACTCTCGATCGTTAAATATGCTTATCCTTAGAGAGTTCAGGTCTGTGTAAAGATTTGCTAGGATGCCTCGATCGGTTTATCCTTTTAAGGATTTCAAGACAAATGTTATACTGTTGAAAAAAATGCACTCTTGGTTGCATAAAAAAATCTATCCAGAACCTCTCTGAAAAATATTTTTGAATTAATTTTTGTCTACGGACATAAATTAAATTTCAGTAAAGTGGTTTTAGTATTTTTAAAAATTACAAAACCAAGTTTGTATTTCTGATGATACTTAAATCATATATGAATATTTTGCAAAGCATTTTGATTCAATATAATTATTTATAATTTTAACACATGATAAAACCATGAAACCCCTCACAGCATTTAGTCGCGTGGCCATCGCATGCCCTTACTCTAAGAGAGACGGATTTGTAACAAACCAGTAGCGAAAATATTTTTCGAACTTACTTGTTAAAACCCAAAATCCAGTGCCAAAAATTTTCAGTGTCGTGAGAAATCCAAACAATAAGGATATCGTGTTATCTTAGCTAAGAAAAGGAACAATCGGGTGTCCGAGATTTGACGTGACGAAACGTTCCTTAAGGGGGTTAAACCATCTTAATGCGTCTCTGTTTACAGTCCTGTTTGTTTCTGACTGTATTCTAAATATTCTCCCTCTTTTTAAAAAACACCGCTCTATTTACTCTTGTAAATATCTCATTTTTACAGAAATTATCGTATTTGTAAGATATACCCACATTAACAGAAAACATCCCTTTGAAAATTATTTATTTTGTTAATCGTACGTGACTTTTGACGCCGATTAAGAATGTAGGAATTTAGAATATATATGTATACTCTTGAGTTGTGTTTAATAAAAAGGTCAATATTACGAGGAACCCTCCTTCGAACTCAATACAATGTTTCTAAACAAAGAAATGTGTTAGAAATAAATATATTTAAAAAATGCCAAAGAAATGTGTAAAAAGTTGATTCAAATATTACATTGCTATTTAGTTATATATCTACAATTTTTTTAAATATAGGAAGTTGTTTATTCTTAAGAAATAAAAACATATATAGTTTTAAATAGTGACACTTTTTAAATAGCATTCTAAAACCCTTGTATTTATCTATGTAAAATCAATATATAAGATTTTATATTGCACTTATTTAATATTTGACAGATTACCGCCCTAAAAATCAAGCACAACCCTTTTGCCAAAGCCTTCCTAGATGCCAAGGAGAGGTGAGTGAGATTGACGCCAAATGTCTGCGCCTGGCGCAGAGGCCATGATTTACACGGTGCAGAGAGCGTTCGATTTGCCAACATTGGCGCACTTTGAATTTACTGGGTTCAAAGCACTAATAGACAATTGCTGAATTCTCCCCTTATGTGTACTTTACGGGCAAAACTGTCTCTATTTGCTCTTAATAATGTTTCAATTAAATGTCAAGATTTTTGGCTTCTTTAAACATGAAAAAAATGTTTCTTTTTATCTCGTGCTTAAATGTGAAGTTGTTCTTGAGATTTGAAGAATTTTGTTTGTATTTTGTAGGCCTGATGGCCGCGACTTTACAGACGAAGGGATCGACAGCCAACAGAGATCACTTTCACATTGTAAGTTCAATAAAGCTTATACAGTATTTTATGTCCGAAATGATTTCAAAATCTTTTATTAGTATTATTACTTGCCAAATAACATTATGGAAGGCAAATACCTGCATGGTAAGAGAAAATTAACAAAATTCTGAAAATAGAAAAAAAAATCAGAGCAACCTCAAGCATACCCTCTTCCTGCAAATACACTTACATACATGTATAGACAGAAATAATTATCCCCTTTAGTATATCTTTGAAAAGTAAATTGCGGTTGCATGGCCATGCATGGAATACAATAAAATCATTAACATCGTAGTTAAATATTTGCTTTATTCTTGACCCTAACATTTCTGTAAATTTAATGACATCTGTAGCAAAATCAAGTAATAGTATTGAATAATATTTTTTTTCCCAAAATTAACTATGAATTGACTGCTATAATTATGTAACAGGGAGCAGAACATGCTGAAGTATGCAAGGTGCTCCTCCAATTCACGAAAGCTTTTAATTTTAAATCAATCATCTTCCCTGTGAATGAATTCGAATTTGACCTTCATGCAGATTGTGCCGGGTGCTTTTGTAAGAGTGCAAACTTTCCTGCATAATTGATCGAATTTGTCATGAAACCCGTTTTCTAGTCGAACACCCTTTTGTCATTTAAATGTGGCATCCATCCCTGGGCTTTCTTGCTGTGACTTTTATAAGACTGAGATGTATATCGCATCTCTTTACGAACAATTGTCGCAAAAAATAACTGTCATTCCAAACCGAACCCGGGACATATTATACTTGTGGCAAAGCGACTCAATCCGGATAGATGCACATATGAATTAACCCTACTCAAATCTTCATTTAATTTAAAGAGAAACACAATAGTTTAAGTATTTTATTAAAATCCAGGGTTCATCTTATTTTGGAATAAAAATTAATGAAATGACATCGTATTTATATTTTAAGTGGGTTCAAAAACATAACAGTCTTGTTTTGGCATAATGTATTTAATCTCTTTTGACGATTAATTTGTTAAAGTCAAATTTTGAAAGGGACAAGCCATTGTAGCACTTATGCATTGCCAGGTGTTAAAAAGCGACAGCAATGTTTCCTATCGCTTGGGACATTGTTCCTGCAAAGCAGTATCAGTAGATCTTTTTAGAGACACTAGCATTTGGTTGTTTGTGGTCCAAAAATCTTATATACCGGGGTGTAGATAATTTGTGACTAGCACTTCGTTATCGGGGGCACATAAAGCAGATTGACATTATGACATGGTTGGTGTGAAGTTAGGAACCGATAGGGGACACAGCTTCATCTCTCATACAACCACTTTGTCACGTAATTGAGAAAAACTTGAGATAAAATTGACAACTTTTTATCAATGAATTTAAAAAGAAAGTAAACAAGTAGAGATATCGATACTAAATCGCAGAGGCCAGTTAAACAGTCAATCCAAATTTTCTAACTTGTTATAATGAATTTATGATGTAACACTGCTGTACCCCGCACTTGGACTCTATTTTAACAATAACCTTTAACACCTAGATCTCGTGAAGTGTGAGATGTTAATATCGCGAGATCAAAGGACATAACCTATGTATCGCACGGCACGGAAAATTGCATTTTGGATTAAGAATGTATACAAATACTGGGAGTATTGCTCTAAATTCAACAAATTTAGGGGATTCAAGAGGGCCAGACACTCTCAGTGATAATATGAAGAACCCTGCCCTGGCGAAATTTATGACCCATCCCTATTCTGCATTTAAATAAGTATTTGCACTAATCCAATCTTTTTGAAAAACAGCCGATAGAGATAGGCTTTGTTTGTTAGAGATTTAGATTAACAATTTACAACTTTGTTCTTCTCATCCCTATCATATTTTATTAAAAAGCTCCAATTCAAATAAATGTAGTGCATAGCATCATTTAACAAGTCAAGAGACTCGTTCTAGGCACGATAAATACCCATATGTTCCGATATTACAGCCATTCTTCTTTTCAATTTTAGCAGAATTTTAAAAATATGACCGGTAATTGGGTAAATTTGCTAAACTAGGATTTCCCTAAGGATTCGAGTTTCTTTTATCATGTTTATACCGAAACGGTTATCACCTTAGGGTAAATAAACATGTATAGTTTATATCCAATGAAGAGATGATTGTTCCTTTTCCTAGTGCAAAAGATACAGTTTATTTGATTAAAATGAACACAATTAAATGCTGTCTAAGTTTTTAATTTAAACATAAAATCAAAATGACTTTGTTTCTATTTTCAGTGGCCAGTACGTGGTACATTCCCCCGGGGAGTCACGCCCTAGTCCCCCCTCCAGCTCACCAGTTCCCTAACGCCTTAAATCTCTCGTCCCCACACTGTGACAGACTGAGCCTGAGGAATGCTCGGGCCACACCCTACTCTCACCCCTATCAAAGACGGTCGCCTCCCCACGGTAAGAAACACATTTATTTTATAATCTGATAAATGGATGTGACCCTATACACTGTAATATTTTTTTAAAAAAAATTACATTCATTGTAATAGTGTTTTTGCTCGCAATGAATCACTAGAAGTACTAGTACTGTTTTTATTTTCAAAGGAGAATTTAAATAAGTACAAGATACATATCTATTTGACAAAGGATTGATAATTTTTTTCTCAAAATACAAATCAAGATGTTATTCACCCCCCCCCCCCCCCAAAAAAAAAAAAAAGAAGCCAAAGATCTATTTAGAATTTTAACAAAAACTTGACATTGCTATACGTAGGATAACCCAAAAACCATAAGTCTCATTTCCAATGAGGTCCTTAAATTCTGTTAATAGATAATTAAACATTTTTGGAATTTGGAATGCAAAATGTAATCCACTTTTTTTTAATGGCATACATGTATTACATTAAAGTCTTGCATTTATATTGAGCAATAAAATAATTAAGATTTTTTTTTAATGAATTCGTTTCTTATGATGTTGATCTTGTCATGGAATAATATTTTTTAGACAATTCATTTGTTTTCTTTATCACATTTTTAAATCGGCATCGGAATGCTTTACAGTATAAGGTCGTAAAAATTAAAATGCTTTTGAAATGAATATTTAATACCTTAATATCCTCGGGAAGTAAATTAATGACTACTCCCAGCCCTATTTTTAGTAATATCTTTTTAGTTTGCAAATGTTGTTTTATTACTTAATGAGATAAAATACATTGATTATTTTGGAAAAAATTCGATGGCGCCCGATTACTTCATTTAATAAATTTGACATTTCTATTAACGTGTTGATTTCCGGAATTTTGGGGAGCGTGCGGCAAACACCAGGAAATTAGATGGCCATTAAAGACAACATTTTACGATTCTGGTGAAAGAATCTGAAAAGATTTGGAAATAAAATGAAGTCGAGGTCCAATATAGACTCAACCTTAATTCTCGTATTAACCAAAATTTTACGACTGTAATGGATTAATTCGTGGACATGGGTCTGCCATGACAACGCTCTTCTATTGTTTTGGCCCCCATTTTCATGGACAGCGTTTTACGGGATTTTATCGTCTTATTTGGTCATAAAATTGTTGTCTATCCATGCTTCGACATGAAAGCCGAGATCTTTTGATTTAACACATAAACCTGCGTTTTGCCTGTCAATTATCGAGAACAAAGGGTGTGATTTCATTTTTATTCCTTTTGATAAAACGATTCTATTGCTCCTTAACATGTTACGACTTTCCACTTTGTTTGGTCTATTTGCCTATAATTTTACGGTTGGAGAGACCAACCCAATGCTATTATCTACCTTTGACAGAGACGTAATGTCTTTATGGGACCTCCCCCATCAACAATTCAATTATTCCGGTTTTATAACGGTGGTCCCTAGGGCTGGCAGTGTTAAACGTATCCCTTGTCAACAAATTAAATAATTGGATCTCAAAAAAGATACGCTGACTTGATCAGACAGATATAAAACTGAGGTGTAAAATACAAAGTATGTGACTTAACACTAAACAAAAAACCCAAATTATCCCAGAATGCCTTTCTCCTTCTTTACACTACTACATGAAAAATAACATTTAAGTTCATTTGTGACAAAAGGATCTCTATGATTAATATCAGAATAATCATTATAATAAAAACTTTGTTACAATCATGATGAAAGTCTTTTATTCTTTCTATAGAAACACTCCATATTTATTTAAAATGTCTAATATTTATACATTATTAATGTAGATGCATGTGTTAAGATGTATGAATATCTTCTTTTTTTCTTTGAACAGGTGGCTTTTCTAGAGATGTGACTTCAAACATCCCTATGTTAAATATTCCAGACAACTGGATGTCACCAACAAACCCTGGCGTTCTCCAATCGAACACTTCCAACCCTCAGTCCCAATACAGCATGTGGATGGGAAACCCCATGGGAAATATCCCAACCAATCAGAACTGTGCAATGCCATATCTGCGTTCCCCCAATGCATATCCGTTTACCTCATCAAATACACCTGTATCAAGTGTGCCTAATGTGACAATCTCGAATCCTGCAGCATTGTCTTCGTTCGATTCCTCCAAATTCGAATCATGTGACATTTCATCATTCGCACCAAACCGGGATGCCATTCGAACATCAGCCTGGAGTCCCCTAACGCCCCCTCCCATATGAGCTCTGATCTTGCCACATAGTTAACTCTGTGATACCCCCTCGTATAAGTGTGCTAATACAATCAAAAATACATTTGTTCATCTTGACTTCAACATCGAGAATTCCACATCGAACAAAACCTCTATACACATGGGTGCAAGGACTGCAAAATGGCGGTTGTAGAGGTCGAACTTGACGATAAAAGCGACGCAATCAGGAGGTGTGAAAGAGGCCTGTCGGCATTTTTCTTCTTTGGTAATAAATTTGTTTTATTTGTTTATACTTTTGAAAATAAATTATTTTTGTCAATACCCCTTTTTACTGTTTTTCATTTACTTCTGCACTCTATGCGGCGATATCAAACAAGGAACATTGATTTATACACCCGGTACCGCTATCTAAGCGAACACCTCCATTGTCAAATTGATTAAAACGTTATAAGGGAAAGTAAAATGTATCTTAAAGTGACAAAATACGTTTGCACAGGTGTGAAAACCAAACACTCGTTAAAAGGCAAGAAAGAACTGTAACTGTCTATAGCATGAGACGGATTGTTATTCAAACGAACATTTATATGAACTATGAATGTGTTTCAGTTATTAATTTCCACCGAAAGCTGACTTGAATTTTTTGGGCCTGAGAAAAAGTTTCGATTCGAATCTTTATTGCGAGTCATTTATGCCGATAATGTCTGTATAGAATTGGATTGTTTGTCTTCTAACCCAGCGACCAACTTATCAAGTCTTTTTTCAAATGGCTTTTGATTTTGGAAAAAAGGCTGCCCGTGATTAATGAAGACACGATGAGATAATAAGGGTGTTAAGCAGGTGAAAACCGTTTAGCAAAGCTGCTTTAATTCTACTTTATAAACAGAACTATGAAAAAGTTTTCGGCAAAGAATTTAGTTATCTTCAAAACGTTACAGTAGAAAGTATATCATTTGTCATAAAGATATTACAAAGAAATGTGTAAGGGATGTGGTAAAATGTTCAATATGTTCTTTTATCTATTTCTGTAAATCAGAAGGTATAATGATCAGTGCACGGAGGCTGCTAGGATAGGTAATAAACCAAGGTTGTAACTAGACTTCAATTTTTAGTAAGGCAAGGAATCTGGTATCTGGGAGCTACCCGAGTCCCGAGCGGGTCCAAGGTAGTGTCCTGATAGGGATTCTCGGGGGAGGAGAGAGTTCCCGAAAGCTGGGTGTAAACAAATTTTAAAAGACTTGAATTTTTTTAATATGCTTTCTAAACTATTATAAAGGACCTGTTGAGATGATTGATTTACAAAAATTGAAACTAAAGTTGAAAGTATTAATTTAGTACAAAGGCATACATAATTAATTAAAGTTCAAAGAAAAACTTCACTTTTCAGAAAACTCTTAATTTTTAGTGAGGCATTTGCCTCACTTGCCTCAATGGTAGTTACGGCCTTGTAGATCTTACACGTACAAAATGTAATAGACCTAACACGTGCACGTTCAAACAACCAATGATATTCATTACTGAACATATAATGTTAAATGGTAATATGCTTCTGAAATTTTTACTATACTGCATATGCAAACCCGAGTATAGAATATGTCTTCGCCTTACATAGCCATGATATGGAGAGAGTTGACAAATGTCTTTTAGGAAGAGACTTCATCTAGAATGGATTGATTTAAACATTTTATGGATGCATAATCAATTGGATTGGACACAATTTTAAGTTTTTCCAACTTAGATTGTCCTCTCTAACACAAACAAAATGAACAATAGGTACCCGTTATGTACAAACCAACAAAATGTACTTAAATTTAAAGTGCAAGGATTAAAAGGAAAAGAGAGAAAGTGCAGAGAAAAGGGAGGGCAGAGGGTTGTAGAAGATCGGAATGGTTACTCTGTTAACGTTATTCAGAATCTTTTCGATTTTTCGGTGTACTTAGATTTTGTACACAGTTTAATAATGTTAATGTTGGTTTTTGAAGGCCCACACTTGGGTGTTTCAAGGTTAAATATTCCTTTATTATTTCTTACAGTGTTGAATAAATTGATGTGAAAAATAATTTGATTTCGGTTCAGAGCAAAAATTAATCCACAATATGCACGCTTGCCAAGAAAACCACGTTGATGGGGGATTCAAAAAACTGCAAAAAAAAAAAAAAAAAAAAAAAAAAAAAAAAAAAATGCACTTCGGCATTTGCAGGTGACATCAATGCCAAGTCTCAGTAAGAGTGCTCTTACTTTTGGAACACTTGCTTTGTATGGACTCTCTTGTTCCAGTACCTAATGAGGAAGCCCCTCTCTCGAAGTCGCCTGGGGTAATTGGTTCTTTTCTGTTGACATAGTCTGTTTATCGTATATCTAATCAAGCACCTAGTCAATACGCTGCTACATTTGATCTTGCAATTCAAAACATTCAGTCCCCGTAGAAGAGTAACGCAAATAGATTATATCAATGGCTGAAACTGTGTAACTTCGCCATAATTAAATTTGCAGACATGATCTTTTTCTATAGCGGGATCTTATGACAAACATTAACGTTTTTACTGCTTTCGGGGGGTTGTTCTACTCTTATTGTTCCGTCGTCAATCTGGCTGTCCTACAGAAATCTGTCCCGACACCTTGCTTCAGACCCTAGTCAAGTTTTATTTACCCTGAACAAACGAAATATTGATATGAAATGAAGTCATATGGAGGCGCCTTTGTTTCGCTTCGTGGGTAATGAATAACTTCTTTTTATGTATCAAGATGGTGGCGTAAGAAGTAAATAATGGTCTTGTCTTTTTTAACACTTTCAAGTCGCTTCGGAGCCTCACGAGGAATTCAGAAAGACGAGAGGGGACGACCCACCCCGTCTTAAGACTGAATATCGCCGAGGTGATGTAATGATATACTTGCAAAGAAACTTATAATTTTATGATGTTTACATTTTTAGTTAAAATACACAGTCTCTTGTGTGGTCCTTTGGAGTTATTCCTGTACTTAATGATCCCTAGGGTCCCCAGTAAGAAGTCTAACTGGGGAGGCGTCTTTCTGTTTATGAATTAAGATACTTATCATTTCATATTAAAACGTATCTTATTTTGTTTGTAAATTTGATATATATATATATATATATATATATATATATATATATATATATATATATATTATATATATATGTAGAAAGCACAAAGAAATTCACTTTTACAAGGATACCCACTTCCGCCCCAACCCGGGGTTGAACTCTCGACCTAATGAATCTGTCACCTAACAGTACATGACCAGCGTCCTAGACCGCTCGGCCATCTAGGCAAGTCAAAAACTTGCTTTCGATGACGATGGAATTCTCGCAGCGCTGTCCTACAATACACGGTCATTGAGAATGGAAGAGAGATACAGTTATTTGAACATTAGTTTTATTAGAGGATCGTTACCGATACACAATGTAATGAATAAATTTTATTTATAAAGCACATTTTACAACAACTCTTAAACTAACATAACTGCCCTATGTGAAGAAATTAATAATAATATAGAAAGCACAAATAAATTTACTTTTACAAGGATACCCACTTTCTCCCCACTTTCAACCCCGTGTTGGAGCGGAAGTGGGTATCCTTGTAAAAGTGTATTTTGTGTATTGTGTGTGTTTTTCTATGTCTGTCTAAATGTACTGATTATAATAAAGTCGAAAGTATCTGAAATTAGCAGCCTTTTTAAAAAAAATGAAAAATGATTTTTTTTAAACTGCTGATTTCAGCAATTTTCGATTTTTATTATAATCAGTATATTTAGACAGACATAGAAAAAAACCAATTAGCCATTCTTTAAACCGAGCCTTCTGCAAAATGTTTACATATGGACTCTTCTGCCTAACCGCAAATGCATGGATTCTGGATAAGGGCTTTGGTTTACAAGGTCTCAGTTGAATTCGAACCTGCGATGTACATGTAAGAATTAACAAGAAGCGAGACGAAGCGAATTCATCCACTTGGAAATGTTAAATATTGAACTTAAAAAAAGCACTTAACTAAAAACAGAATAGATATTGAAAGTAAGAAGATGGGCCTAGTAGGAACTTAATAAAAAAAAAATGAAAAATGAAAATGTTGTTCCCCAAACAGTGTTCTGTCCCCCCCCCCCTCTTTTTTTTAAAGATACATAAAGAGTCAGTTGAAGTACCCGTGGACAAGGTGATCTCAAATACCTATAATAGAGTTTTGGGCAAACCTAACAAGAACTCGTCAAAGGGCCTCTTGTCCAGATTTCTGTAACCGAATAAATGCTTAGAGTTTATTAATTCCATCTCAAGTGGTCTCAAATCCAATAATTCTTTAATCAAGGAGTCAATTAAATAAAAACTTTGTTAGGAATCTTATAGGGGGTTGAGTAACGCCAAACTTCAAAAGCGGCGCCGAAAATTTCCGAATTCTACTCGGCAGGTCAATATTGACAAAAATGCCGGCATAGGTAAACATCGGCAGCGAAAATTTGTTTTGAACTGATTTTAAGATCATTAAACTTTTACAGTTAAAACTTTTTCTCTCTTTTACTCGTTCTGTGAGCCTGTTATTGCGATAATATGGCGTTTGAAGTCAGGGGGGTCATTTTTGTTACAAAAGTTTATGGGTGCATCATTAAACAAGAATGAGTACATTTTGAATACTTTAATATTAATGCAGAAAAAAAATCATTCTCCGTGAAAAAGCAAACAAATATTAATGCTTTAATTCATTGAATTCTGAGCGATTATTCATATATATATTTGGTCGAAAGTAAGCACGCGCACACCACTAAAGAATGTAATACTTTGAAATTTTGTCAGTTTTTTTTTTTGAAACTTTTTTTCCATTATTTACATAAAAAAGTTCAAAAATAAAATGTAAACTTGAATGCTTTCTGTTTCGCATATTCTATAGAAAGTAATCATTTAAGGGTTTTCTTCTTCAGAAATCGTTTTATACCCCAAAAAGGAATTTATCATATCATTTTCTAGACTCTCATAAAGTTTACGTTTTGTATCTTTTTAAAAACTAATTTACTGCGTCAATGGTTTTTCCTAAACAGTTTAAAGGAAAAAGTGACATAATAAGCCTACAAAATGAAATCGCCATGACTAATTTATCGTGGAAGGTCGGATATCATTCGTAGTAAATCGTAGGTGGTCTACAGTTTTGACGAGACACTGTTTGATAATCAGGCTGTTCGGACTACGAGTAGTAGTGAGAAACTGAACACACCGATTTCGAATTACCTCGACAAGTATGATCAACATCAATGATACATCTGCTGATACGACACGAAAATGTTCATAAAAACAAAACCTTCAAAAAATTG